AACACAATATTCCGTCCTCGGAATGTCAAAAATGCGAGTGGATGCCACAAAAACCAATGATAGAAATATGGAAATAAGGTCATAGCACGTTTATGAAAAATGTGGTGAGCAAAAGTTGAATGAGAAAATGCGACGTGTATATTATAAGTTATACAAGACACAATAGAGAAGATAATTCAAAAGAATTAAAGTGAATAGTCAATCGCAAATATATAAAGGCAAATCAAGGTCTGTAAGAAAGTCTGATATGTAGTATAAATAATAATAATGAAAATAAGGATAACATCAGAGAGATGAACACATAATTGAAAGCAGTATTGCCACAGACATAAAAGAAGCATGCATATTGTAAAATAAATAGTTAATACTCTATCAAATTATAATATAACGCCAACATCTAGCGCATTAGACAAAAATATAAGTATTAGTCAACATAGTTAATAGCAAAGAAGTCAATAACAAATATACAAATTATAGAAAAATATAATAATATCATAACGAATATTGTATATGTATCATTAAGACGACACATCACAGTGTTAAAAATAAAATCAATAGCACATAATGGTAAAATATAACAAACATTATAGTATAAAAACATGATATGAAAAAATATAATTCAACACTTATCAATCACTAGAATATATTGATAAAGCATATCAATCTCAACCATATAAATAATTAAAAGAAGAGTATAAAGAAAGATAAAAGACAAACGGTCGCATATCAAATTATAAAAATCACTCATATGTAAGCAGATGATAAACATGACAAAACACAATACAAGAATAACAGATGAACTCATTATACAAGCAAAAGCAAAAGAAATATTTTGAAAGGGTATGTAAGCAAAACAAAATAGTAAAGAATCAAACATACATATAGTTTTAGACAAACAAAATGTTACAACATAAGAGATATGAAGATAATAATAAAAATATCAAGTTACAATAGAAAATATTCATACAATCAGTTGGTTAGAATAAATATCCAAGCATATACAAAGATAATAGTTACAAACAAACACAATGCAATGCAATCACGCAAACCGCATTCAACCAAATAAGACACACAAGCGCACAAGTATCGAAAATAAGAGAAATTACAAAATATGTAAAAAGCTCAAAGATAGTATTATTGCAACACATGTCTAAAGCAGTTAGAAACATAAACGCACGTAAAGAAGCATAGATATTAATAATCAATATAACAAACAGTAAAGATAAACATGATAAGCTGGGGCTCGGCGGGTTCGTCGGAGATGGAGGTGGAGCGGGGTCGGGTCGCGGCCTGGTCGGGCGGCGTGGGCAGAGGTGGTGGAGATGGGTTTCTTGGTTTTGAAAAGGAGAGAGAGAGAGAGGGTACGGTGAGAGAGATGGAGAGAAAAGAGGAGAGCTGGAGAGTTAAAAAGAGGGATTTTTTTTTTAATAAGAGAGAGAGAGAGAGAGTGATGGTGATTGAGTGTGAGAGAGAGAAAAAGATAGATTGAGAGAGATCGGAGAGAGAGTAAAAACGGCGGAAGAATTTAATGAGTGCGGGATAGGGTGGTTGGGAGGACGTGGGTTGAGAGCTGGGGGAAAACACGAGGCGGAGGGGTCTGCGTGAATTGGGGAGAAGTATACAGAGTGAATACCGGTGAGAGGAAAAACACAGGGAAAAATACCCCTTTAAAAATAATAATTAAAATACCAGAAAATTTATTCAAATAAATATTAAAAATTTATGGTCAAAATAATAATAACAATAACAATAATGAATAATTAAAAATTAATTTAAAAAGGTTTACCAAAATAATTAAATTTATAATTAGCAGAACTATTAAAATAATATAATACCGTATTTTTAAATCGTAGAAAATTCTAAAGAAATGGGGAAAAATACAAATACTCTTTTAAAAAAATAATATTTAATATTAAATATCAGAAAAATTATTTAAACCAGTATTAAAAATTTACGGTCATTACATCAACTTTGTACGGTTGAAGCTAACTAGTTAAAATAATGAAACAACTCTTTTAGGGGGTTATTGGTTGGGACAAGTTGGGGATAAGTGGGATAATTGTTTCAATAGAACAATTTTATCCCTTTGGGATATTTTGAATAGTGTAAAGTGGGACAATTTAGGATAATGAGACAATTTGAAGCTTTGAGTTGACTATTCATGTGGGATAATTGATGATGTAGCACTTTAGTAAAGTACACTATTTATCTATCAATTAAGTCTAAATTAATTTACCTAAATGGTTTAGCATATTATTTGGTATTTATTATAATATAATACATTATTTTACTTTATACTAAACTATAATATATTATATTATAATTACTAACTAATTATAATTATATTTAATATTATTAGTTAATATAATATAGTATATTATATAATAATTGATATAATATACAAACAATATATTTAATATAATATTTCATCAAATATTATAATATTTTATTTAATATAATATTAATTAAAATGTTATATTATTATTAAAATTTAATATTTTATTTTATTTTATGATAATTACTATAATTTAAATAGAATAATTGATTACATGGCTCTTTATTAAAATATGATATTTATAGTAACTGTAATATACTATTAGAGCATCTCCAACCATGCCCTCCAAATTTCACCGTTCAAATTGAAATATTCTAGGAATATTCCAATTTAGAGAGTAGAATTTGGAGAGTTGCTCCAACCCACACTCTCCAAATGTTTCCCTTTTTATTTTATTTTTTTTGTCAAAAAAACCATATAAATTAATAATGTTGGATATAGTTTACATTAATAATTTTATTTTTAATAATTTATTTGGAAAAAATATAACATTATAAAGGTGTCGATGAGAGCTTTAAAATGAACACAATATTAATAATGCAATACAACATATTAAAAAAATAAAATCTAAAATAACAGTGACAAAGCATACATCGATAGAACAAGAAAGCAAATATGAATCTCTAATACAACATACCATAGGTCGCAAACATAAAATATGATAACACACAATTAAAATTCTATGTCTGATACTTATTGAATATTTATGGCAGAGACACGACAACGAACGAATGTAATTTAAATATTGTAATTTATGCTTGTATTTTCTTATGGGGCAAGTTAAATAGATCCTCGTATTTAAAATTTCATGTCTCATACTTATTTATTTAATTTAAAAATTAATAATTTTATAATAATGCTAAAATAAATTAATCTTAGTTTCATTTTAAAGATCTCAGCGAGACCTTTCCAAATATATAATGATTTTCAATATTAGATTAATAATTTTTAACTATATTTATTTGAAATTAAACATCTAATTTAAATTACTAAGAATGATGGCAGAGTGATAATTTTTAAGAAATTAAATAGTTAAAAATGACAAAGTTGTAATTAATGAAATATGAATAGTATTATAGAGAGACTCTCCAAATTTTCTCTTCACCCTCCAAATTTGGAGGGTGAAATTTGGAGATCTCCAAATTTGGAGAGTGGTTGGAGAGGTTCCACTCTCCAAATTTGGAGATTAATAATAAATTATTATATAATAAATTATATTATAATATAATTAATATTTTAAATATATAAACACTATATTATAATATAATATTTTATATTATAAAAATACTACAATAATATTTTTATTCTAACTAATAAAATATATACTAAATAATATAATATTAATATTGTAATATATGAAATAATATTAACCAATATGTAATAATGATATATAATAATGTTATATTAGATAATATTATATAATATTTTATTATCTTACTTTATAATAGATACATATAATATAATATAATACAATTAATATATATTAGATATTTAGTAAATTAGAGCTTCAAAATTATCTTATTTTCCTCATGATTGTCCTAAAGTTAAGAATGAGGTAATTTTTGAAGGTTATGACAAAAAGTTTGTATAAAAACGGGATAATTTTGGGAAAAGTGTGGTTAATTGTCCCAATCTCATTGTTCCAATAAATAACACATTAAAGTGAAATCCCAATATCATTGTTCTAATAAATAACACATTACACTAAAATCCTAATATCATTGTCCCGATGAATAACATCATAAAATAAAGTCTCAAAAATTATCTCACTTAATCCAAAATTACACTAACCAATAACCCCTCCCCCCCAACCCCCACCCCACAAAACACACACCCAGTCTACTGGCTTTAAATCATGAATTATAAATAATTTTTTATCCTTCTCTTCGCTCTTTTCTGCCTTTTAGTTCTAGTTGACTCATCTTCCTCCCCAAGGCACTAACCCACCGTCTTCCTTGAGTTTCTGTTACTCGCATCCTCGATAAGAAGTTAAGCTGATAATCATCAAATTGTATCATCTTTCGAAACTTAATTAAAGTGACAAAATCATTGGTAGTCCACCAGTTTTTTTTTTAATTTGAGTCGGGTGATAACCATGAAAAGGCTAAGTTTGATAATCACCATCAACATAGAGAAGTCCCAATAAAATGAAAGAGAAAGCATTTAGGTATGTAAGTAATTGTCAAAAGAATTCTAAACAAGAAGGTGGCTGGATGGGTAAGAGAGGGAGGATTAGGAAAGAAAAAGCAGAGAGATGAAAAGAGGGAGGGAAGTTTGTCTGCAGACTGTCAACTTGAGCGGGGTAAAGAAGTCAAGAATGAAACTAAGGACAGAGAAACATAGGCATCAAGAAGTCTGAAACTTTTCTCATCAGATCCCCTAAACTTTGAAGTTTTCTTATTAGATTCCCTACCTATAATTTGAAGTTTTGGAGAGCGATTGCCTAAATTTGAAAATTGACAAATTTCGTGATTTCTTTTTCAAAAACATTTTAGTGCTTAGGGTAGCCCAATAGTTCACATAGCCAAGCCTAGGTTCAATTCCCATATGCGCTCCCTTGCTGGTGAGCCTAGGTTCAATTTCCATGTGCGCCACAAGTGCAGTAGTTATAGCGTCTGGTGGTGCAGGTGTTACGTGAATTTAACCCTTTATCTAAAAATAAAGAAAATCATCAAGAGAAGCATACTACATATTCATAGGTAGCGTAAGATTAAGATATGCATAAGCTCAGTTCTCTTAATAAAACTCCTACGGAGTGAACTGAACCAAGTACGTACACATAACTACTGTACACTAAACCACCCTAAGCGACAATATCATATACTAAGGCAGCGTTGTTGACCACTCAGATGTCAGCAATCGATGATGACAGAAACCCGATGCTGAATCCAAATGAGATACATGTCAATTCTTCCTTCCCGTCTTCTCCGTACACCTTCATTGTAAGCGTATATGAACCCTGTAAAGAGAGAACGATCAGCATTGCATAATGAAAGTGAATGCAACACTTTGTCACAAAATTTCATTAAGTCAAATATTGTTACGAGTGGGAGTCACTCAGAAAGAAACGGTCATATCTACAATTTCCTCCTCTTATCGAACGGACCATCAAGACGGATGCTTGTTGCATACACACAATGAAACGTGAGACACAAATAATTCAAGATATGATGTGTGGTATGCTTTTAATACTGACTTAGAATAAACTTGTACCTAAATTTCGACAGGCATAAGAAAAATTAACCCTAAGGCCATGCGTTCTCATTCTTTTTTGCTGAGCTATCTCTCAGCTTAGTTATTTTCCATTTTGGAAGCTATTGTCATAAAATATAATGAGAGCACACAAAAGACAGTATCTTACTGGTGGAGTGAACGATGGTAAAGTCTGCTCATGTGACATCACAAAATCACCGGTAGCAACAGGACAATTTGTTTCCTCACACAGGTTCTTAGTTTCCGAATGAACATGAAAAAAGTAGTAGTTCACATCAATCACAACCTTCCCCTCGGATATAGCATCTCCTGCACCAAGTTTAAAAAAGTTTCAACATATGGCACTACGATAATACAAACAGATCATTCCACAAAGTTAACTGTACACTTTATCATACAGTCTATACCCAATTTGCAAGTTATGTAGGAACAAATTGCCTTTCCATTGGAAATTGAATACAGCCAACTTTTAACTTTATATAGAATTCTCAAAAAATAGAAGTATCTAAGGCAAAGTTCTGAGAGCTGATCAGTTCTCTTGTTTGGACCCTTGGAATTTAAGGCTATTGTGATTTAGGTGGCATTGGGACTGACATCACAGCTGTTGGAAGATTGGGGTCAGTGAATTCTGAAAAGGCCTGCAGATTGGCCAAATTTTGGTGCACAAAGATAAGCGCCTACCCATTCATTAATTGTACTATGACTACGAGCAGGTCAAGCCTAGTCGACAGTCAGAAGATGATAATTACTCATATTCCTACTTACTAGTGTTGTTAGAATTCGTTGGTCAGTTCAACTAATTCTGAAATGCAAATACATGGGATCCAAACGTTGATACCATCAAGCTTTTCACTAAAATAAAAAAAATAAATAAATCAGATAAATATTAAATCCACAAATGCATCATAAAGAATACCATCATTAGAAATCTATTATCATTAATCAGATTTATACCGAGGCTAAAGTCTGCTTGTTGTAAAGATTTTTGCATGGATTCACACAAAAATATCAATTATACAGCCCATTCCTAGGACATTCTCAACAGCACAAACTCATTCAAGATGTTGGTAGCATCATATCTCATATTTGGGTTGCACTACTGAAGCGTTGAATAATCATCTTACGTCTGCTCCTCTCCCCAATAAGACCCTTAAGTTAATATAAGGTCAAGAAAGCCTTCACCTCACTAATTATGAATTGTTAACCTGTATAGTAAATCATTTTTCTTGAGCAAAGTTCCATCCTTGAAAAACCTAAACCCAAGACATAGTTCCAGCAGGAAAAAGTCAAAAGTATTAAATTTAAGGAACTTTAAAAAAATGTTTTTACCCAAAATTCTATAAAACAAATATTATAGAAATGTAAGTCGAAATTTGCACTAAAAAGAGCCATTTCAAGTGCTGAAGGGGACAACTAACATAAGAAAACAAGAGCAAGTGATTTTACCAGCAGATGCGGAGATTTTGAACTGAGCTGGTTGGCCACCTTGAATTGGGTCAGGATGAATCTCGACCCCATTGATATTAACAGGATAATTCGCCCTCTTATCTGCAACCAGTATACGACCCTGATCAGTGATAAAAAATAAATAAATCATTAACATATATTCTTTACATATTGCTTAGGTGGATGTTACTATAATCACATAATATTTTAAAAGCTTTTCTCACAACATTAACAATTCCAGAAAACAAACTCTTTAATTAGCTCGCATGTGCAATTTATATCCAGGACAAGAAAACGCAATTGGTGCAAATGTTGAAGTAAGCACCATTTACAAACATTCAGTTGGCACCAATGTTGGGTTTGGGTCCATCACTATGAGTGGAGTCAACATTTGTTCTTTTTGGATTTGGTTAAGAGACAAAGCAATTTGGCTGTTGGAATGATTTATACAAAGACTTGATTGTATTCTATACTATTATACTCATCCATGTGTGGAGACTTTGAGAGAAAGAAAGAAGAGAAAGAGGGGAAGTTAAGGTTTTGAAGAAGTCCTCTTGGTTGATTATCGTACTCTCGGATTGATCTTGGACTTGGGTTCGTCTCTTTGTTCCCAACAAAAAGTGATGTTAGAACAAGGTGCACAAATGGGGGCTTGTGAAAGTTCTTTAAAGAGGGTTTGGTCTCTTGTATTGGGTGAGAGATGGATAGTAACACAAGATGACTCGTACGTCAACTGATGAAATTTGATGGTATGGCATGAGAAAAGTGTTCCTTACAACCACTTGAGAGTGTTTGTTTGTCATGCATTCGTCGTCCGGGTCCTAAAATATGAAATGTCCAAGCTTGATAGCAAGTAAGCATAGTATCTTCATGGGATATTAAAATGTTGAGTTTGGATATATGCCATGTGGCATGGATACTTTTACTTGAAAGTCGTATCAGCATCGTACATGTACTGGACGCCGCAACTTCAGTGGACATTACTTGGATATTCGCATAAGTTGATTCAAACGTGTATGCAATTATATAATATATGTTTTAATTTAAAATATTCAACATAAACTTCTTGGATATTTATCCCAGTGTTTTAAATGTCGGCCGACATGTCCGACATGTCGAATTTAGGGGCCAACCAACATGATATGGTGTTTTTCAATGCGTATTGCATTTTCAGGGTTCATGTCGGATATATCGGGTGGATATATCAGGTGATGTCAATTATGTCGGCCGATTTTTCATTCTAAAAATTGATTGATTTTTTTTTATGTTTATCTAATCAGGTTTGGATTTAAATTCTTGATTGTCTTAATGTTACTTCCAAAGACAAAAACCGATAAGTTAAGGGAAATGGAAAAAAAGACTGAAGTAATATTTGTCACTCATCTTCTCTCTCTCCTTTGACATCTCATCGGTCTCTTCTCCGAGCTATTCCTTTGACATCAATATAGAGCGGTCTTATCTCTTCTTAATCGCTAATATCGGAGTCCTCTTTTCTCACCTCTTTCCTTCAACATCAACCCTAAGCATCATAAGTTATTTATTTTTTTATATGTTTAGACAATAAAATTTTTAAGTCTGTTTAGATTTTATTTATGATTTATATTACACATATGCACACCATCTGATATGGCAATCCGATATTTTTCATGTCCCGACATATTCCCGATTTTCGCTATCCGACATGAATTTTAGCCGTCTGACATGAACCTGACATCCGACATTTAAAACATTGTCTTCTCCTTACCTTATTTCATGAATCGTCCACTTACTCCTAGATTCTTTCATCTCCTCCAATCACTTTTACTCTGAATCCCCAACATCTCCTCCTCTCTCCCATTCCCTCTTCCTTCTTCTCCTCTCCCTCTCTCTCTCTCTCTCTCTCTCTCTCTCTCTCTCTCTCTCTCTCTTCCTACTTGCTTCACCCACTCCCAACACCCAAAATTAGATATTCCACCACAAGCTTAGCGTCATTCTTCTCTTCTTTTCTTACACTCTCTTCTTCCTTGCTTCATACTCCTCTTTCATCCTCCAATCATTAAAAAACCAATTTCCTTAAGAGTGAGGATATGTGAAAAAAGGAGAGAATGGTGACGATTGGGGAAAAAAGGAATGAAAGAGATGACAAGAAGCATGAGGCAAAAGATGGTGGGAAGGGAGGGAGAGTGGAGTTTTTTTATAAATTTTAAAACTTGAGGGGTTAAATTAGAGAATATGAGAAATTTGAAGGGTATATATAAAAATCTCTTAATTTTCTTGCTTAAAAATTGCTTACGGTGACGAAAAAGGTTTATTTATCACCGACTTGTTACTTTTTAGGTCAAATTATCGCCGGTGTCACATTTTAGGCCGAAGTGGTAAAGAGGGTGACACTATTTAGGCCAATTTGGTATTTTTGCCTTATTTTATTAGTGTATCACTTAATCCGTAGGAAAGTATATACTTAAGATATGCTGACAAGAGATACAATGATGCACTATGAAAGAGGAAAATATGTTTAGATAAACTCACTACATCAAGATATTTGTCCTTTACGAGTGTATCTCTTTCCTTATAATCTATTAATGTAGCATATTTTTCTCATATTTAGTGGATTCGGAATTTTTTCCCTTAAATCCTCTATAAATTGATCATTCCTTTCTTCCTAACCCCCATACCAAGATTACAAAAAATTCACTAACAAATGGCAGCAATCCCTAAGAGCTCATTGTCTCTATACTTGTTTCTCGTTGGCCTTCTGATTCTTGGGCATTGTCTGGCAGAATCATTAGTGGTCCAAAGTGTCAAGAGAGAATATCGTCCATGTGAGCGTATTCCAGGAGGATGCACCAAAATCCCAGAACCAGACAATGATCTTCCCCCTCCTTCGAACCCTTGGCACAGGGGATGTAGTAGAATTTCAAGATAATGATCTTCCCCCTCCTTCGAACCCTTGGCACAGGGGATGTAGTAGAATTTCAAGATGTCGAGGTGATGGGCCACCAGCTAGCAACTAAGTTCTATGAAAGCCTAGTTTTAGGATGTCCCTAAGAAATGACAGGCTGTGAGGTTGTAAAAGTTTAATGGGACTGATCTATTAATAAAATCTAAGTTGTTTCAATTTACTTTATCCTTTGTCAATATGTGCTAAAATTCTTTCTCGTTTTCTCACTACACCTGGACTTAAAATTGTACGGACTTTTATTATTGATATTAAGTACCATATTAAGGAACAATAAATTAAAACTTATTAGAACAATTTGCTTTGCAATTGTGAAGGTCAGCCTAAATTCTCTTGTTTAAAATCAATATATAAAGGCTACACATCATGAAAATACCTTATGCTTCACTAATTTAGAATTTATACACCCTTAGTTATTTTTCAGAGTATTTATATACCTTTTAGTTGATTAAAACTAGCACTTTCATGCCCTCTGTTATGTAAACGTAAAAATTTTCATTTGAAAAGTTCTCCTATAATATTCATGCTAATTTTATAACTTTCTAACTATTAAATTTGCTAAACTTACTGTTAAGTTATCAAAAGTTTATTTTTAATAGAATCAAAATATGTTTAATTAGAATATGGATAGGATCAATAGTAAATTTAATAAATACTAATGAATAAAAAACACTAAAATTAATATGTGAATGTTATATGGGAACTTTCAGGTGAAAATTTTAGGACACATATTTTTTATTTGGATAAGATCAAAGCAAACAACGAAAATTCCTTTGATTGATGAGTGTTTCAGGTTTTTTTGCATTGTAATTAACACAGATTACAATGCAAGAAATTTAATTAAACAAAGGAAATTTTATTTTTTTCCCCTGGGGGTTCTTTTTTGTGCCGGTGGAGCGTCGATTTTGTACTCCATTGACTCGCCGACTAAGACGATGGATCTTTTGCTGTTGATGAGGATTAGATTGCTTGGAAGTTAGCTCGGTCTTCTCTTAGCAATACCTCTCTAGCTTCTTTCACTAAAAAGCTTTGGGCAAGAATTTCTACCTCTTGTATGCGTCTGCGTGTGCGTGTCAGTGTCCGTGTCTCCAAAGTGAATGATCTCCTCTTCTTTTATAGGCTAAAAGAGTGAGTTAATGGTCCCCTTAATTGTGGATTATGTGGACATTAAATTAGAGTTAGTGGGGAGCGGTTATCCTTTGAAAATAGCTCTAAAACGACTATTTGGGCGAACTTCGCGGTCTTGGCGAAGTTCGCTGAAGACGTATTGCGGGGGTCGACTCTGGTCTTGGCCGACTGATGACACCTTTCGACTTAATCTGAAACGTGTTGCGGGGGTTGACTCGTGTCTGACTTGGTCGAATTGAGTCGATATGAGTTGCTTGGCGAGGCTCGCTTCAATCATGACCTTCGATGTAGCTTGTTTTGGGCTTGACTTTGGGCTCATTCGTAGTGCTTAGCCCATGGATGTTCACTTTTTGGATCCTTAGTGAAAATACATTTTGACTGTCTACAATGAGCTTCCAAGAAAGGGGCTGCAGATGACATTCATTAAAGATTTGAGTTGAACCATGAAAGTCTCTTTAGATTGGGACCTAGGCGTTGTACTTGATATATAAGGGGGGGGGATATAGAGGACACACAACATTCTATGTATTGCACTCTGGAGAAATAAAGGTGAATAAAAACTTGAATGAGACATGTCGAAAAAATAATGTGAAGAGATAAATTATGTTACAAGTGTTTAACATGCTAAGAGTTTAACACTTGAAATGAAAGTTTTCCATGAAAGAATTATCTACTTTTAGATGATGTTACATACAACAATGATGACCAAGCTAATATATAACACCTTATAAACTCCATTATGGAAGGAAGTGCAAGTGTCCTGCATTAGGATGATATTGATGATAATAAATTTTTGGCACTAGAATAGAGCAATAAATTGTTGATAAGATTAAGTTAGACAGAGGAAGTCCTTATACTGTACTAATCAATAGAAGACTTATGATTATTATGAAAGAAAGAATTAGCATTTCGGGAATGTGACATGGGTGCTTAAAATTTCTTTTACCTAATGAAAAACATATTTTAGCATATTTTAGCATTCAAGAAAGTTAAACCCATGATTCATTTATGTTCTGAAACCATTGCTTTTGTTGATTTCATTCTGTATTTTGTATGCTAATGCTAAGAAAATCCATTCGATGTCCTAATGAGGTTATCGAATTGAGTTCAGTAGAGCAAAAGCCAGATTTATTAAAAAAATCAGAATGTATTGTGAATTACAAAGAGCAAGTGCTTAGGTGTAGACTAATCAAATATGTAAAAGATCAATGGGAAAATAACTCCGAGAGAGAAGCAATTTTCAAAATTGAAGATTCTATGCAAGAAAAGTATATAGAACACTTTGAAAGTTCAAGTATTTAAATTTCAAGGATGAAATTTTTTATTAGGAGAAGAAAGTGTAGAAACCTCAAAAAAAATTAATTGATCTTATTTTCTCTTTAAAAGAAAGAAAATGAAGAAAGGAGCGCAAATAAAATATCGACAAGGATTCATGTGCAAAAGTTTCCATTCTTTTAGCTTGTTTTCAGCCACCTAATGAGTTTCTTGGCCTTAGGTCAATGGAGGACAGAGTTTAACAAAATCTATCCTCTGCTTTAAGGATCTTGTTGAAGAAGTCAATCTTCTACTAGAGAAGTGAAAGCAAGAAAGAAAGAAATAAACAAAGAAAGAAAGAAGGGAATATCACATTGAAACCCAACTCAAACTAAGGTATAACTCATTTTCATGTTTGATGCTATTTTTATCAAGTTCAATCAAAATAAATGATGGAAAGGATAACTACTTTTGAATTAAAAATTGAATTTTTTATCTTAGATTTTAATATTCTAGAAAAAGGCAAAAGGGTGAAGCAATTTTGAAAATTGAAGATTCTATGCAAGAAAAGTATCTAGAACACATTGAAAGTTCAAGTATTTAAATTTCAAGGATGAAACATTTTATTAGGAGAAGAAAGTGTAGAAACCTCAAACAAATTAATTGATCTCGGTTTCTCTTTAAAGAAAATGAAGAAAGGAGCGCAAATAAAATATTGACAAGGATTCATGTGCAAAAGTTTCCATTCTTTTAGCTTGTTTTCAGCCACCTAATGAGTTTCTTGGCCTTAGGTCAATGGAGGACAGAGTTGACATTGCCTTAGGAGGATGATAAGAACAAGGGGGAGAGTTACATTAAATTAAAGAAAAGCCAAAGAAAATTTAACAAAATCCATCCTCTGTTTTAAGGGTCTTGTTGAAGAAGTCAATCTTCTACTAGAGAAGTGAAAGAAATAAACAAAGAAAGAAAGAAGGGAATATCACATTGAAACCCAACTCAAACTAAGGTATAACTCATTTTCATGTTTGATGCTATTTTTATCAAGTTCAATCAAAATAAATGATGGAAAGGATAACTACTTTTGAATTAAAAATTGAAATTTTGATCTTAGATTTTAATATTCTAGAAAAAAGGCAAGGGCCTCACCACTGACCACCTCCGGCCACTGGCTTGTCCCTATCACCGTCGACCACCTACGATCAAGGAAAGGTCAAATATGGCCTCTTAGATTTTAAACATGAAAGCAAAGCAAAAGAAGAAAAAAGGAAAGAAAGAAAAGAAAATAAAAAAAGAAAAGAAAAGAAAAGAAAAAAAGAAAAAGAAAAGAAAAGGGAGAAGAAGATGAGTTGGGTATCAAAAAGAATGGAAAGGAGAGGGAAAGATGAAAACTTCTCTTAGACCTTGGCTCAAAAAATATTTCCGATGAACCTAACCCGCGTAAAGGAAAAAAATGTAGATTTTGAATAGAAAATTTTACGTTAGCCTAATCCTCATAGGGATTGTATACAAATCCAGACATTGTGAAATATATCGATCGATATTTAAAATACTAGCTTTGCCCTCAATAATCAAAGTTTCTAAATCCATCATTAGTAGTAAATGGAGGATAATCACGTGCATGTGCCGGCATGTGTGGAGACACAAATGGGCACATGGTTCACATGTATGCATACTCCCCCTCAACTACCTACCCACTCACCCAGCTATGCTGAAGTGCATTCATGCACTAGCGTACAATAATTTTACTATTGACAGGAATTTTTAGCAATAAGAACATTTGTAAAAAATGTAAATAAGCAAACGTTACTAGCAAATAAGATTCTCAAAAAATAATTAAGAAAAAGCAAATGTGAATTACTTTAAAGGAAGCATTCGGGTTTTTCCATGGAAACCACCATCAAAACTCTTGAGCAATAAATAATATGATCATAGACAAAACATGTGGAGGACATATGCTTAGACCACTATATTAGATGCCAACCTAATTAGCAGATGTGTGAAACTCCAGATGATATAGAACTTTGGGTTTAGTAGCTTTGATTTTATTTTATTGGCTAAAATACCAAATTGGCCTAAATAGTAACACCCTTCACCACTTTGGCCTAAAAAATAACACCGCCGACAATTTGACCTAAAAATGATAAGTCGATGACAAAGAGACTTTTCTAATCCTTGGAGTAATTTTTTAGCAAAAAATTAAAGAAATTTTATATTTAGACCACTTAATCTCTCATGATTTTTAAATTAACCCATCTCATTTCCCTAAGTTTCTGAAATTTGTAAAAAAAACACCCTCTTTTCCACTATCTTCTTCTTCCTTCTTCCCATCATCTTCTCCATTCCCTTATTCTTCCTATACCTTAGCCTTCCCTCCTCTCTCACTTCCTCTCTCACTATTTTAAATGTCGATTGATATGTTGGATTTAGGGGCCAACCGACACGATATGGAGCTTTTCAATATGTATTGCATTTTCAGGATTCATATCGGATATATCGGGGGACATATCAGATATGTCGGGCGGATATGTCGGGTGATGTCTATGTCGGTCGATTTTTCAGTCTGAAAAATTGGCTAGATTTTTTTTTTTTGGTTATTTTTATCTAATCAGGTTTGGGTTTAAATTCTTAATTGTCTTAATTTTACTTCCAAAGATAAAAACTGATAAGTAAAGGAAAATGGAAAAAAAGACCGAAGTAATATCCGTCACACATCTTCTCCCTCTTTCGACATCTCATCGGTCTCTTCTCCGTTCTCTCTTCTTAACTGCTAATATCGGAGTCCTCTTTTCTCACCTCTTTCCTTCAACATCAACCCTAAACATCATCAGTTATTTATTTTTTTATATATTTAGACAAAAGAATTTTTTAAGTTTGTTTAGATTTTATTTATGATATTTATATAACACATATGTGCATCATCCGATATGGCAAACTTATATTTTTTCATGTCTCCCGACATATCCCTAATTTCTGCTATCCGACATGAATTTTAGCCGTCCGACATGAACCTGACATCCGACATTTAAAACATTGGTTCATCATGCACTTCACACTTGAAACTTGATGGACATAGATCAAATTCGTTTCAGCCTGTACCCAGTTCAGAATTATGATCTGAAGAGTTTTGGATATCAGGTTCAAACTTGTAGTTTTCTAAGTTATATATCTCTAGAAAAAAAGAGATACCAGGAACATAAAAATAATATAGGAATTTTAATTTCATAATATTCGACTTAAAAATAATATTAATCGAATGTGAATTATATTATGTGTGTGTTTAATCGTGTCCTCATACCCTACCTTTTATAAATTTGCATTGTTATGTACCCGTAATTGCACTTGTACCCTTCTAACTCAGGATATAGGTTGTAGGGGATGAAAGAAGAAGTATATTGTAGGTTAAAAATGATGATGACGCTTATTCTTCTTCAGATGGAGTGTTAATTTCGATCCAATTCATGCTTCGATCGAGATAATGTAGTACGAGAAGTTTAAGAAGATATGTCCGCAATGCTAGTGATGAAGCTTCTATCTCAGATGTTACAAGAGAGGAAGGGGAACGAGCCACCAATGAGCCCAATGAACAACCACAACTTCAATGATCTACTAGAGAGTGATGTCTCGGGAAGCACCAGTGGAGTCACCGGACCGGTACCATCATGATAGTAGCAGTGGCAGCTCGGCCTGATCACCTTGCCCTGCTGAGTTGGTTCCTTCCCCTTTGATGATTTACTCTTTTTTTTGGTGATTCATAAACCAAAATTCTATAAAGGAACTTGCCAAAGAAGAAGCACACATTTGTTGGAAGATGGTCATAATGGATTCAAGATGATTAGTTATGAGTATCTCCCCGGCATGAGCATGGAAGGGGGGATTGCTAGGTTTGGTCTATACACATGAGTGGATATAACATTTGATTTATTGGGATTTGGCTAAAGGATATGACAACCTAGCCATATTGGATCAACCCACTTGTGGTTGGATTGAGACGTGACTCACATACACACTTAAGTTGAGAAGGAGCTGCATTATCTTGGAATGATTTTCTTCTAATTTGGAGTAGTGGTTTTTATACATAGTTTTAAAAAGCGGCTCCCATGGATGGAACCGAACCAAATCGAATCGAATACCGTGATTTCTAGAAATTTCCACCATCTTGCAGTCGTAAAATCAATTAAGTAATCACGTACAGGTATTTATATAGAGCTGTTAATTCCGTAATTTCTAGAAATCGCTGAATTGATTGCAATCTTTTAATTCAAGAGTATATCATCTTCACACGATTCAAAGTGGGGGGTCCCCACAGGTTATCAGGGTTGTACAAAAACTCAATTTTTATACGATTTTATGCACATACAATCAACTGTCAAGTGCCTGTACAAGCTATTGAACGCATTTTATCAACAAAAAAGAGGCAGGTAAATAAAGACGCAGAAATAACATAAAAACCCAATTAAAAATTAGAAAAGAAAAAAAACCTACATCTACAATTAAAGCAACTACACAAACACAAAACCCTAGATTTGTTGAGGAACTTACTGCAGTACTCGAAATCAATCCCGCGAACAAGCGAAGAGGAGAGAAGGCAGATCGAGACCACGAGCACAGAGAGGAGGAGACGGCGGGGGCCCATAAAGATCGCCATTGTTTCTTCGATTGAGATCAGAGGGTGATAGTGGAAGCGGTTGCGTATTTTCTAGGGTTTTAATTTCTTAACACCGAAGTCAGGAATTTAATAAGATGAACAAAATATTTAAAGATTTTATTTTGAGGGACTCGAAGAAACCGACAGCTGATGTGGTTTCCTCTTCACTTTACCAACTTTTGGAGTTATTATTTGCTGGTCACGTCTTTAGGTCGGTGGCCACTTTTTGTTTTTATTTTTGTTTTATTTTACTTTTGATAAAACCCTTCAACTTAAACCATTTGAATTTCAAAAAGGAAAATATTTGAGAAATAAATCTATCTTATATCTTATAAATCTTATAAACAATAGAAAAAGAACACCCTTTAAAATAAAATAGTGTGCACCATGTGCAAAGCACGACCCCCTATTTTTTTAAGCACTGCATTTTCAACTCGTCTCCCTCTAAGTTTTTATACATTTAATTTAATTATTGTTTGCTTAAAATTAGAAGTCATATCTACTTCTCTATACTTAAAGAATGATCCAAGTTTTAATGCATTTGATTCAGAAATCATATCTACTCCTCTATACTTAAAGAAGGATTTAAGTTTTAATACATTTTTTTGCTTTACTATTTATAACATGGTAAATTATTATGATATAAATAGTAACTTCAAGTTTGAAGGAGCATATTTGAATATGATTTATGCTACGGTAAATTATTATAGCATAAACAATACTTCGGGCATGAGCACTAATTCTTTGGATTCTCATTTAAGTATACTAGTTGGATTGCACGTGCCATGCACGTGGTAAAATTTTAAATTTATTATTTTATTATTGATTCATTTCATTATGATTTATTTAATTTAATCCATGTTTCAAACAAATAATCTTTATTACAACATAAATAATCCTGAAAGTAGAAACCCCTGTAGGTTTTAAACAAATGTCTATAGAAGTATTATAGTAGGTTTTAGACGGTGAACATAACCAAACAAGAAATGCAAATAAGTTCACTGTTATCACGTTTCATAAAATAAGGCGTTTTGAGATGAGCACCCAGCTGAAAGCAAACACATTTAATCAATAATTCATAAAACATTGGCAATCCGTTTTTTTAGAGGAATACATTCACAACTATATCAAAAGTACTCCCTGCCAACAAAAAGACAATCTTAGGGATTAGAGAACACCAATACAACCACACAGATTGTGAAAATATCAGATACATACTTGGCACATAATTTCCAAGAGCAATGATAGCTGCATAGAAATAATCGAAAGAGAAGTTCCACTTGTTTGGCATCCTAATGAAGTATTTTTTAGAGGCTTGTCATTACCAAAAACCAAAGGATGAAGTCATTCCCTCATGATAGCAAATAGAAGAAACTCAATCTAAAATGAAACATTTTTTGTACCTTGATGTAGGCCAGAGCTATATATATCATGCCGACCTCGCTTGTGATGCCAGGAGGGTATAAGATCAAAAAGGTGCTGTATCTGAAATTATATACTCACATTTAAATTACATGAACACATGTAAACAAGTAGGATTATGTCAAATGCAGCAAACAGGTACCTTAGCCATAAGAGCCAGGATGGTGCAGATCCAAACACATACTATACGACTAAAAATATTGTATTCTTGTGATTCAACAAATTGCATAACCTAGAAAAAATCTGACAGGCATAAAAAACTCAATTTCTGCCAATAAAATAAAATAAAATAAACAAAACAATCTCTGTTTAACAGCTTGACTAAAATATCATACCTTTGAGATTGCAATTGCTTCATCCAGTCCTGGGGGAGGTGAGTCCAATAACTCTCCTAGTTTGAATTATCCTAGCTTAACCGTAACAAACTAAAATGTAAGTAAAACACAAGAAACATATGCAAAAACCTCACCATATAGCAAATCAGTCCGCCAACAAATAAATTCCATATGTTGGCATAGAATATAAGAAAAATGCATAACTATGAACAAGGAGATATAATTCCACTTGTATGAAAAGAATCATTGAACCTAAAACTTGAGCAAATCGCACACTTAAGAAGGCATTCCCTAAAGTAACTTTCAGCTTATTATAGAGAAAGCAATGTGCCAAAACCTGTAAACCTTATGCGAGAAAGTATTAGAATAAATAGTACTCTTGAGGACTTTAATAGACAACCAAAAAAATGAATTTCTTTCAGTCATTGTTGCAATCTATGATGTCATTAGATTCTACTTGGTCAGCAAGCATTCCAAAATCCCATTATATGATTGCTCAGGTTTAGGTTCCCGGTCAATTTTGTAAACAACACATCTCTAAAGGAAACTTCATAAAAAAGATCAAACACTATTATGGGTGACACGCCAAACTAAATCTTCATAAATGAGAGTAATGAGTGCTGCCCAGATGAAATTGTCACTGTATCAAAGCAATAATTCAATAAAAAATCATCATATCTTCATTACATTGTTTAACTTGTCATGTGTTTTTCAAAGCAATAATTCAATAAAAAATCATCATATCTTCATTACATTGTTTAACTTGTCATGTGTTTTTCTCAAAAGAAAATAAATGGTGCGATCGTGATCGTGATCGTGATGAGTAATTGAGTAAAGCAAAAGGCTTGAAGGTTGCAGATAAATAGACAATTGTTTGATATGTCTTGCATAGATAAATCATGTGCTAGGTTTGTTGTAGCATTACAAGAGTTTAGGGGATGAAGGTGTAGGGTTGAGGAGTGAGAACACTATAATTGGATGATAGATTGAATCTAGAATTTTCATGAACTCTCATTTGTTGATTACCTGAATAAAATAAAATAAAAACTTCATTAGGCATATAGAATAGGCTTTTAAATTTGAAATCAATATATGACACAACTTTTCTTATATTTTTTTCTGATTGCAAATGCCGGAAATGAAGGAGGAAAAAATAATTTCTACTTTTGACATATTTTAGTTACCTTCATTTGGAACATTTTTTTCCTAATATGTAGTCAACAACGTTTCTTCTTTTAATATGAAAGAAACAATAAATAGTTTATGCTTGTTTTAGATAGTAAGAGTGTGAAAAATATCCAATGTTTGTTTTAGATAGTAAGAATGTCATAAATATCCTATATTTAGTGCTTCAAACTATCTGGTTTATAATCGTGGATTAGCCAGAAACATTGAGGTTTTTTTGTTAAGAATCTTTGGGGCCATATCTAGGATTTAGATTTGTGATTGTAAATGAGTGGAGAAGGTGAGATAAGATATTAGGGGGCACAAGGTCTGAAAGATCAAAATTATATGAGTTCATGTAGCTCTGCAAGTAGTTAATGTGGAAGTTAATGAGTGTTTATTGGAGTAGGCTGGTTATGCTGTTGGAGTTGAAGCGGAAGAGTAGGGGAGTTTAATGAGCATATAGTTTTTATTTTGATTTTTTTGGGGGGTGGGTGTGGGGGTAGCTGAATTGGAGTAATTTCTGTCTTTTTGTTCTTATTCTGAGAAAAATTCTTAAAGTGCGTGGTTGACAAGGTGATTTTCTGAATTACCATAGCGATTGCCAACCATAAAAATCATAAGTGCACCACATTCCGTCATAATAAAAAATTGGTGACGCAAAGGAAAAGACTATGTCGGTAAAGTATCCATAAGAAGTATGTGTAACTGTTTACATCTGAATATAACAGATCTAAAATCTTACACTGGTCATTTGTAGAAGGAAACAAGGATTACCTGTGCATATGCATTGTCTTTGTCATATTCCTTCACTCCATGGTTGTAGGTTAATTCCAACACTGCACTTCTGTCTTCAGGACCATATCCCATCATTGCTATTGTATACTGAAGATTAGTACATGTAAACACATTATCAAAATTTAAATTTAAAAATAGATGATGTACTGCAAACATACATAGTATGCATGTATAAATACCAGCATCCAAAATTGTGACAAAGTGGATGTTAGAGGAATTTTTTTTTTTCATAAAATAGGTGTTTTTTGTTTCTTTGTTTAATACATAGAAATGTGCCCAATTCTTAATAACAAAATGTGACCAATTCTTAATAACAAATATAACTAAAATCTGCCATTCAGAACCTTATCTCTGTTAATTTTCATCATTAAAATGTTCCCTCTCTTGACCACTGATATCTGTTAATTATAATGTCTTTAGGAGAAATATTTTTCCTACAATCACCTCAATCTGAGGACAAACAATAAAGAGGATAAGTTGCAAATTACAAGATAGAGAGGGAGAAAATTTTAGGAGATGAATATGGGTGAAAAATGGAAATAAGCAGTAATCATTAGGGAAACCCGTACATGGTAATTTTCCATACCTTGACCACTCCTAGGGAGAAACCCAGTGAACAATGGGACTCCAAAATGAAGAATGTTGCCATGGTCCTCAACACTCTTCACCTGTGCTGTAAGAACCTGAGTGAACAAAATTTCTGAATTATAATCACATCATTTTGTGCAATTTTCTAGCTTATTTCAGACTTCCACTAAACCAAAATGTGGCTTATAGACTTATAGCATTTGTTTCAAAAAGTTCTTAGTAACTTGTATCTATTTTTAGTTACTCAATAACATTATGCACCTCATACTTAATACCTCAAAATATAATTTTTCTTAAAGTTTCAAGTAAAAGTGCAAAGGTTATGTCCATAAGCAAATAAATGCAAGCCAGAACGTGTAAACAGTTTGCATATGAATGAGGATAAATTGTGTTGAAGCACAATGAGAAAAAAATAAACGATGAAGAACCAATATGTCTTCAAGAATCTGATGTTGACATTACTGGCAAATATAAGCATTATCAGCTAAAATATCCAAAGAAAATGCAGGATAAAAAACTTATGGCAAATCATCATTCGTCCTCAATGCACAGCACCAGGAGTTACCAAATTCACTGGAGGAGAAATTAATCTGGTCATGTGTTATGTGTCAACGTCACTACTAAGTTTGATTTTGCCTTTTCTGACCCTTAGGAATTAATCCATCCATAATTTTACTTAATGATCAGAAGCAAATTGTGAATTTGACTTCATAACAAAACTTTCTATCTCCCCTCTCATCTAATTGCGCTAGAGTCTTTTTGTTATAGGTGAACTTGGAGTGTCGTCCTAAGGTTGCAAAATATTAAATTGCATGGTCAATAACCTAAATCACATAATAATGTCCTAATTCATAGTCTTAACACCAGTTACAAGAGATTTAATGACAATTTAACGCTACCATTCCGTATTTCCAGTAATTTATCACAACAAAAATAATAAAAGAACTTTTTCTATAAAATCATACATCTAGAATCACAAACATTATAAGCAACAGAACATGTCCAGGCCTTGGTTTCACAATGCTTCAATAAAAAAAAGGAACATAATCAAGTTCGATATTATTAATAACAGTCGATATCGCAATACCTAGAACAATAGTTTGTGATTTCACAATCACTGTTTCAATATAGTAATAATAACAGGAAAAAATGGAGGAAATATAAGGAGTAGGCGAGAATTTGGGGAAGAACAGAATGGTAATGAGAAAAAGTAGCAGGCAAATGAAGAGGAATAGAGAATGTAGTAGTAATATCAGTGAGGCGCACGGAGGTGCATCAAGGCGTGAGTCATAATAAGGTGTATCGAGGTGTGCGCCTCACTTACACAATGCACCCCACATCTCATGCAGGGCACAGTTTCAGTGCCCTGAAGTGCCTCAGCACCCAAGCCGATTGCCTTGGAGTGCCCAAGATAACACTGGAAGGAATTATGCATTAACAGGAGAGGTGTGGATTTGTACAAAGACACGCCTACATATCAAGTGGTCCAAAACAAAGAATCTCAATCAATAAGTGCATAATGGAGGATAGGATGCTACAAAGATGGGTAAACTAAACTCTATTAATGAAAGGGTCAAGCACGGAATTCTCTTACTACAAAGGCAATAGATTAAAACAGATTAATGAGATTAAAAGTGCAAACAAAGGCTGGAGCCAGAAAACCATATTGCATGAATAGATCAGTAGGTGCCTGCATCGGAAAAATGAAAAAAAAATACTTTTAACTGGTTATATATTTTTAAATGTACTCATAACATTCTTACATTCACAGGAAAATCTAACCATATCATAGTCCAAGAAATATAATATACAGAAAACTACTTCAAAAATGTTTGTTTGTATTCGTATCTGTGAATAGAAAGGAATACTTTAGCTGCCCACTGAATTCCATAAGCATATGCCTTACTTTGTGTATATCATGTGGCAGAAAAGTTGAAGATAGTGGAATGTAGAGTGTCATGGAATATCAAGCCATGTGCTAAGCAAACACCAGAAAACACACACAAAAGTATTCAGTCAAAAAAAAGTTGTTCACCCAACTAAATCAGCCGCAAGAACAGATCTCAACAAATCTGAACGAGATGGAATAGTCCTATGAATCTCAGAAGAAGGGAACGGTGTATGAAGAAACCATCCAACTTTCATCTTGCTGTTATATTCCTTCAAACATTTGGGAAGAAACATTAGATGATAATCATGGCACCAAACAACATCCCCCTCTTCATAGTGCTCATTGACAACATCAGTAAACATCTGGTTTGCCCTCTTGTATGCATCAAACTGAGACTGGAAGCTACGGGTTGTGGCTAATTGATCTTCTTGAGGGAGTCCGAGGTAATGGAAGAGAGGCCATAGGATGTTGTTACAGTATCTATTGTAATATTGGTGCACTATTTCCTCATCAAGGAAAACTGGAATGCATCTCTGTTTGCAAATATAACAACATTTTATATTAGATTACAAAAGCATGAACGTTAAGAGCTCATCAACTTTATACCTTTTCAGCTAGAGCTTTTGTAAGAGCTCTCTGCCCAATTTCATCTGGCACATTTACACCGGCCCATCCGATCCATTTAGCGTCTGCCTCCTTTACCCCTAAAATAATGCAATCAAATTCTCATTATGTCATCAGTCATCTCGCTAACGAGTGATTAAAATTCTCCATTATAGAATATTAGACCAAGAAGCAATCATGCAATACAATTTAGCTTCAACCTCCTCACTCCTAAAATAATGCAAGAAAATTATAGTCATTCTACCATATTGCTACCAAATTGGTCAAAATTCTCCATCATATATATAAAACATTATAGCAACAAGCAACCATGCAATAAAACTTAGCATCCACCTCCTCCACCCACGAACATATATAAAACATTATAGCAACAAGCAACCATGCAATAAAACTTAGCATCCACCTCCTCCACCCACGAACTAATGCAACAAAACTCCCATCATTGCACCATTTTTAACTCCAAAAACTTGATTAAATTCCCTATTCTAAACTAACATGACGACGAAGCAACCATGCAGTGGAGATAAGACTAAAGCTCAAGCTCTCACCAAGCAGAGCGCTGACAAGGCCGCCCGCGCTGATATCAAGCGACCAAGATTCCTCCCCCCTTCTGACCGCCGACACCGGCAGCCGGTTCGCCACCACCAGCAGCCTCTGCTTCATCGGTCGCCTTCCTCCGCCTCCGACGTGCCCTTCGCCAATCACCGCCGTGGCGGGGGCGGAGCCCACATCATCACCGGGTGGGTCCAGCGGCCCCATCTCCTGCTCGAGCAGGAGGACGGGCCCCACCTCCTCGGGCCCGCCAGGCTCAGCCTCGACGATGTTGAAGGTTCTGTTGAATCTCCTGAGCTCCCTCTCTCGCAGGAGCCTCTCAACCCTAGTTAGGTTTCTTGAATTGTACTTGCTCGCCGGCATTTGATAGGCTTGCACCGCTGCGGGCTTCATCGATCGCTCGATCCCTAGACGCCCTGCATTGAAACAGCCCCCAACCTCCCATCAATTCACAAACACAACCAGATTCAAAACACTAAGATTTTTTGACAACAGAGACCAAAAAGATCAAAGCTCGCAACTTTGCTCAACGACAAAGAAGATGAACAAGAAATCGCCACATCGAGAGAGAGAGAGAGGAAGGATCTTATACGTTTTCTACCGGGGGAGTGGTGGGGACGGCTCAGGCTGGGAGGAGGTATATAGGCGTAACGGATGAAAGGGTAAAGTGACTAATGAAAATAGGATATGTTTGGTAATTAAATTTGTTGGAAGGCTATTTTGAGGAAGGTAAAGTTTTTTATAAACTCCCTCTTTTAAAGGGTAGATAGATAGATACTAGTGTGCGGCCCGTACGAAGCACGACCTTCCCTTTTTTTTATTGCTACAATAATCTCATTATTTTATTGATGCAACATTTTTTAAAGTGTCACAATAATATTTTAAAATACTATAGTAATATTTCTTTGAAAAATGCTATAGCAATAACGACGGAGTAAATTACTGTAGCATTTACTGTAGCATATGAATAGTAATTCTTGGGTCCTCCCAATATTATAAAGGAATAGATGATTAGATTATAAAAATAGATGAAATGAGATGAGTTGTCATCATATAACTGGATGATATAACTCATTTTTAAGGAAACCAATTTCATGACTTTTTTAAGGAAGTGAATGGAAATCAACTTTTAATGGTTTTTCTTATTCTGTTTTCTTTTCTTTGATTTTAGAAAATCAACCAAACAGACCCTAAGTGACCCATGTGACCAACAAAGTCCATGTCATCTCAAATACACCAAGGATATGTTGCTTGTCAAATTAGTTCTTTCAATAAACAAAGAGATGTAAAACTTTGTTGATTTACATACGTGACGCCGCGGTCGACCGCGAACATGCACAGCTCAGAAAAAGCCTCTGGACTTTTCACAGTCGACCGCAATGGATTCTGCGGTCGACCGCCAAAACCTTGTAGTGAATTTATGTCTCGATCGTTCTGTCCGGTCGACCGCACGTGTTTGCGGTCGACCACGATGCTGTTTTGGGCCTACGGTCGACCACGATGCGGTTTTGGGTCTGGTCTGTTTTCCTGCACTGTTTAGGTTTTCTGTTTAGTATAAATAGAAACACGACTTTTCTAGGGTTTTCTAACCAGATTGTAATCAGAAACAAGATCAGGGAGTTTGTTCTTTGATCTAGAGAGATTGTGAGATAGAGATTTGTAATATATTATTTCTCATAATTTAGAGAATGTATTTTCCTTCGCCCAATTCAATTCTTTGTGTGTTCTTCTGTTGTCTTCTTCACAACTCACTCTTGATAATTTCGCGATCAAAGGTGCTCGCACGGCAAATCAAACAATCTCTTAAATTTAGTATTAAAATATGTGTAAATTCTTTTCTGTATGGCTTTCTATATAGAGGCATCTCTATATTAATATAGTATTATATAGATCTATGCAACTTAATTAAGGTGTCACCCACCTTTGGAATCCAGATCTCGCAAATTTCAGGCGTGTATTCAATAATTTATCGTCTTGGGATTCAAATCCCAAAATTCCTCGCATAAATTAACGTATCAATATTCTGCGGCACGATTAAGTATTTTATCTCTCAAGTATGCTACTTTCTAAGGAAAACAAGGTTCAAACTCAGAAAGGCCCTTGTGGTTTGCGCTGTAAATCTATTAAGCCCCCAGACTATTATTTGGATCTATTAAGCCTCTATGCTTTTTATTTTGAATCTATTTAGCCCATATGGTGTTTCTCCATAACTAAAGAAAGGGTATTTTTGTCTTATTGAATCTACTTTTTAGTTATGGAGAAACACCATAGGGGCTAAATAGATTCAAAATAAAAAGTATAGGGGCTTAATAGATCCAAATAATAGTCTGGGGGCTTAATAGATTTATGGCGCAAACCATAGGGGTCTTTCTGAGTTTGAACTCAAGGAAAACGTTTCCTTCATTAGGTACATTAATTTGTCAACTAGTGCTCCCTTGAGGAGGATAAGTTAAAAGTAAAAAATTCCCAAACTCTGCAATCTAAAGGGGTGTTTGTTTCACCAAAAATTTTGAATTACAAGTTTTAGGATCAAAAAGTGAGTTTTTTTGTGTTTTGGGATTCCATATATGGTGTTTGTTTTAAAAAAATTTTTAGAATATTGACCCCAAAAATACAAAAAATATCCAATTTTTAGAATTTGCTAAATCCTCTCAATTGGAGAGGATTTGTAATCCCATAAATGGGTGTGCTTACATCTCTTTTTATATATTTGTAGTTTATCTTTTTGTGGGATGTAACCTCACCAAGATAACATATTCATTATATTACAAAATTTTAGCATTTAGTAATGCTATAATTTGATCTTGAAACAAACAAAATATTACAAATTGTAGTATTCCAAATCCCAAAATATTAATGAAACAAACAACATTTTAGAAATCTCAACTCATATATGAGTTGAGATTCATATCCTAAAATTATAACAAAACACCTATGGATTTTAAATCTAATGGTGAAATTCATATCCTAAAATTATAGGATTTGAAACAAACACCCCCTAATTGGATTGAAAAAAGGTTATTTTACTCAACCCCCCCTCCCCCCTTCCACCCACCCACCCACCACTCACACAGTAGTGTTAACTGTTAGAAAATCTACTTTTAAATCGTGATTGGTGAGATTTAAACTTAGGTTGTTCTAACACCATGAAGAGTTTAGAACAGAGAATATTATTAAGGCTCAATCTGATACCATATTAAAAATCCTCTAACTATTTGCACCAAATATCTAAAATTATGATGAGGACTAACGATTATACTTTTACATTCTAACATCCTCTTCATTCTCTTCGTTCGTCACCCACTCACCCACAGTTCTTCCTTAAGCCCCTCTCCTCTGTTATAGGTTAAATAGTTAATAACGTACAAGATAAGGTAGAATACTTATGCTTGTCAATGACACCATATATGTCGCGATACCGTGTGAGATGTATGCTTAATTAAAGAGTAACCTTTTGTGATTCTCACCATATCATACAATGTCACAGCATTTATGTAAAAAAACCACGCTTCATGTGAACATTGTATGGTTTGTGCCCATCATTAAGTAAGCATAACGGGGATATTCATAAGTACCATAATATAAGATATACACAATATTAGCGTTAGAGGAGAACACTAGTAAAAAGCTTAGCATTTTAGACTGATTATCGTAGACGGAAAATTTCCGTCTAAGATGATGACGATATCGACGGAAAACATCCGTCTAGGATGAAGTATCCTAGACGAAAATTTCCGTCTATAAAGTATCATAACGAAAATTTTCGTCTATGAAGTATACTAATAAAATTTTTTTAACTATTTTAAAAAAATATGGGTCCCATTTTTTTAAGACGGAAATTTCCGTCCAGTCCTAGACGGAAAACCCAAGCGAAAAATCCAAAACAGGGAAAATGAAAAATTCAGAAAACCCTATGAGCCTGTAAAAAGACGAAATTACCTCCGGACAATTTTTCAAAACCGTCCTATTTAGACATTTATTCTCAAAAAAAGACCTATTTCAGTTTTATTTGCAAAAACCGACCTGGTTTCAGCCTCAGCGCTGAAACCAGGTCGGTTTTTATAAAAAAAACTACCGAAACTTCACGAGAGTTGAACTCCCGTGAAGTTTAGCAGACTACTTAAAAATTCTGTTATACTTCACGGGAGTTGAACTCCCGTGAAATTTTGTAGGTGAACAAATTTCACGGGAGTTCAACTCCCGTGAAATTTGTTACAGTGCAAAAAACTCCCGTTCCCAATTCCATTCATCAGATTTTCTTTTCATTTCCCCATTTCAACGAAAAGCATAGATATAACATCATAGCTAGCAGCAGCTGCAGCCAAGAGCCAAGAGATGACAAGAGCTCCTCCACCTCCTCCTCTACTGCTTCTACAGCTCCTCCTTCTCTTGAATCGGTCATGTTCCTTCTTCACCTGCGATGCCAAGAGAGCTGGAGCAGACCATAGAGGAGGAATCACGAACGATGCCTGTTCCTTCTTCACCTGCGATGCCAAGAGAGCTGGAGCAGACCATAGAGGAGGAATCACGAACGATGCCGCAACTTCTTAGTGTCGTTGATTTGGGCAATTTATTGGGGGTTTTGCCTCTTTGAACGTCGATAACCTCGGCCTCAGCGCCCCATTGACCGTCTCCCACGCCGCGTCGATGTCCCTCTTGTTTCTCCTCACCACCGCCCCGATGATAAGCGCGCGCCCGTCGGCTTGCATGAGGTGCCGACACCGTCGGCGATGATGTTGACGCTGAGGTCGAAGAAGGGGCGGGCGATGGAGAGCTTTTGGTCGGCGGTCATGGCGGCGCCAGGGGCTTGCTTGCCGTCGCGGAGAGTGGTGTCGAGGATTCGGATGTAGAATGGGTCGGAGATGAAGTTAGGGGGAATAAGGAGGAGTCATACTGTCAGTAACTAGGAGCTCAACAAGGGAGAGAGAGAATGGAGAAGAACGATGTGATGAGAAGTGTGTTAATATCTCCATTCACGGGAGCGGGAGTTATTTTGTACTGTAACAAATTTCACGGGAGTTGAACTCCCGTGAAATTTGTTCACCTACAAAATTTCACGGGAGTTCAACTCCCGTGAAGTTTAACAGATTTTTTAAGTAGTCTGCTAAACTTCACGGGAGTTCAACTCCCGTGAAGTTTCGGCAGTTTTTTATAAAAACCGGCCTGGTTTCAGCGCTGAGGCTGAAACCAGGTCGGTTTTTGCAAATAAAACTGAAATAGGTTTTTTTTTGAGAATAAATGTCCAAATAGGACGGTTTTAAAAAATTGTCCAGGCGGAGCCCAGAGGAACGTTGCTGAACATAAGCCTATACCGAACATCTGTAGAGGAGTCTGAAGAGATCAAGAGACAGGTTCATGAGTTTTTGGAGACAGGAGTGATTGTGATGAGTTGTTCCCCTTGCGGGTCACCAGTGCTGTTGGTACCCAAAAAGGATGGAGGATGGCGCATGTACGTGGATTACCGGGCGCTTAACAAGATAACCATCAAGAATCGATATCCATTGCCTCGGATTGATGATCTTATGGACCAGTTGGAAGAGATAACCATCAAGAATCGATATCCATTGCCTCGGATTGATGATCTTATGGACCAGTTGGAAGGAGCGAGGTTTTTCACGAAGCTGGATTTGAAGTCTGGACCAGTTGG